AAAACTACAAAATAGTTTGGAATGAAAACTTGCATTTATTCAAAATAGTCTCCCTCCGACTCAATACAACGATTTGCACGATTTAAAAGTGATTCGAATGAGTGTTTTAGCTCGTCAACCGGGATGGCCTTGAGTATGTCGGTCGTCGCCTTTTCAATGGACTTTATGTCATCAAAATATCTTCCTTTCATTGCCAATTTTAATTTTCCGAATAGGAAAAAGTCACACGGAGCTAAATCAGGTGAATATGGTGAGTGGTTGACGGTAAGAATGTGATTTTTTGTTAAAAAATCGGTCACAAGCGTTGCTCGATGAGTGTGCTCTTTGAGTGTGTGTGGAACAAACCGTGCACATACCTTCCGCATACCCAAATGCTCAATCAAAATGCGATGAATAGACTTATAGGATATCTCCAACTCCATTTCCATGTATCTCAACGAAGATTTTGGTTCTTTTTTGACAAAATCACGAACAATTTGAATGTTTTCATCAATACCAGCACTTTTCGGACGGCCCGAATGTTCGTCGTCTTCCAGGCTTTCACGACCATTTTTAAAACGATTAAACCACTCGTAAGTTGAGGTACGGGATAGACAATCATCACCATAAACTTGTTTCATCAATTTATGAGTCTCGGTGAAAGTTTTACCGAGTTTAAAACAAAACTTAATACCCGCTTTTTGCTCCATGATTTTTCGTCGACCAACTTACACAAGGTACTGTCGCTTAAAACGCAATAATTCCAATTCCACTGTTCCAAATGTCTTGAAATTTGGAGGGAAAATCGGTGAATAATGTATCTTTCAAACGCACATACTCACACAAAGATGGCGGCACCAGAAAATGCCCTGCCAGAAAAGATTGGAAATATTTGACACATACTTTGTATTTTATATTTAAGTATATTTTATTTATATTTTAGTATATTTTAGTATATTTTAGTATATTTTATTAGTATATTTTAGTATATTTTAGTATATTTTAGTATATTTTAGTATATTTTAGTATATTTTAGTATATTTTAGTATATTTTAGTATATTTTAGTATATTTTAGTATATTTTAGTATATATTTTAGTATATTTTAGTATATTTTAGTATATTTTATATTTTAGTATATTTTAGTATATTTTAGTATATTTTAGTATATTTTAGTATATTTTAGTATATTTTTTAGTATATTTTAGTATATTTTAGTATATTTTAGTATATTTTAGTATATTTTAGTATATTTTAGTATATTTTAGTATATTTTAGTATATTTTAGTATATTTTAGTATATTTTAGTATATTTTAGTATATTTTAGTATATTTTAGTATATTTTAGTATATTTTAGTATATTTTAGTATATTTTAGTATATTTTAGTATATTTTAGTATATTTTAGTATATTTAAGTATATTTAAGTATACAAGCTGTTGTGTCAAAAGTTTCCGAACTTTTCCAAGAAAAAAACTACAAAATAGTTTGGAATGAAAACTTGCATTTATTCAAAATAGTCTCCCTCCGACTCAATACAACGATTTGCACGATTTAAAAGTGATTCGAATGAGTGTTTTAGCTCGTCAACCGGGATGGCCTTGAGTATGTCGGTCGTCGCCTTTTCAATGGACTTTATGTCATCAAAATATCTTCCTTTCATTGCCAATTTTAATTTTCCGAATAGGAAAAAGTCACACGGAGCTAAATCAGGTGAATATGGTGAGTGGTTGATCGGTAAGAATGTGATTTTTTGTTAAAAAATCGGTCACAAGCGTTGCTCGATGAGTGTGCTCTTTGAGTGTGTGTGGAACAAACCGTGCACATACCTTCCGCATACCCAAATGCTCAATCAAAATGCGATGAATAGACTTATAGGATATCTCCAACTCCATTTCCATGTATCTCAACGAAGATTTTGGTTCTTTTTTGACAAAATCACGAACAATTTGAATGTTTTCATCAATACCAGCACTTTTCGGACGGCCCGAATGTTCGTCGTCTTCCAGGCTTTCACGACCATTTTTAAAACGATTAAACCACTCGTAAGTTGAGGTACGGGATAGACAATCATCACCATAAACTTGTTTCATCAATTTATGAGTCTCGGTGAAAGTTTTACCGAGTTTAAAACAAAACTTAATACCCGCTTTTTGCTCCATGATTTTTCGTCGACCAACTTACACAAGGTACTGTCGCTTAAAACGCAATAATTCCAATTCCACTGTTCCAAATGTCTTGAAATTTGGAGGGAAAATCGGGGAATAATGTATCTTTCAAACGCACATACTCACACAAGGATGGCGGCACCAGAAAATGCCCTGCCAGAAAAGATTTTAGTATATTTTAGTATATTTTAGTATATTTTAGTATATTTTAGTATATTTTAGTATATTTTAGTATATTTTAGTATATTTTAGTATATTTTAGTATATTTTAGTATATTTTAGTATATTTTAGTATATTTTAGTATATTTTAGTATATTTTAGTATATTTTAGTATATTTTAGTATATTTTAGTATATTTTAGTATATTTTAGTATATTTTAGTATATTTTAGTATATTTT